ATGTTTCACACAATGTTTTAGGCTATTAAAATAAAGATTGATGTTAAATAAATTAAATACGGAAACGGAAATTTTATATTATTTAAGCTCTTAATATTAAGTATCAAAAACGTTTATATATTAGGAGAAAGATTCACCAATATTTTAGGTGTTGCGGCTTCGGGTATCTTAATATTTTGCATACTAAATGAAATCGGTAGGTCCATTGGTTATGAAATAGAATCTTATTACTAAGTGGACTATAACAATATTAGGACAATTATCGACCAAAGCTTAAGATGTGTTTTCTTTTATCGTGGCTTAGGGTCTTTTGGCATTTTGTGAAATTAATACAATAGAGAAGCGGAGAACTTTTATTAAATAAGTTAGTCTTACTAAGTGATAAGCGCATAAAACGATTAAGAGAATTGTGTACCAATGATTTGGGTGTTGTTTTTAATCATAGTTAGGTTATCGTAGCATTTTACGTATTACTTGTATTTAGGATATTAGGAACATTAAAATAAGTATTGATAGGTTATGAATAACGAAATGCGGAAGCGGAGAATTTTTATCAAATAATTTTGTATCACTTAAGGGCATAAAATGTTGAAAAGGACTTACCAATATTTCAGGTCTAGGATATTTTTTCGTGGCTTTTTATCTTAGCATTTTGCGACATTTTTGTCAGGTTACTAGGATCATTAAAATACAGATTGATATGTTTCCAGAAAAATGAAATACGGAAGCGGATATTTTTTATTAAATGAGATCGTATTACTTAGTGTTAAGCGGATAAAAATATTAGGATAATGTTTTACCAATGTTTCCGTTCTAATATATTTTTATGACGCTTAAGATATCTTAGCATTTTGCGTCACATTTGTTCGGTTATTAGGGTTTTTAAAACAAAGATTGATAGGTTTCTTTAAACAAAATACGGAAGCGGAGACTTTTGTTATCACATAAGGTGGTATTATTAAGTGAAATCGCATAAATATGTAAGAAGAATCATTAACCAATTTTTTAGGTGTGCTATCTTTTATCGTCGTATAGGATATCCTATCATTTTTCGCCATATTTTTGAGGTTATTAGGATTGTAAGGATTGAAGGTTAGGATTGAAATAAAGATTGTTAGGCGAAGAAAAACGATGAACGGGAGCGAATTATTTTTTATCAAATTAGGTCGTATTATTATGTGCTAATCGCATCAAAAATTAGAAGAATCATTGACCAATGTTTTAGGTGTGTAATGTGACATATTTTGTGAGGTTATAGGATTATTAAAATCTAGATTGATATGTTTCAAAAAATGACATACGGAAGCGAAGCTTTTTTTTCTCAAATAAAATCATATAGAATTAAGGGTAAAAAATATTAGGAAAGTAATTTACCAACGTTTCAGGTCTAGGATATTTTCGTGGCTTAGGGTATCTAGCAAAAATGCTAGATACTGTAAGCCCGCAAAAGCGACATTTTTGTCAGGTAATAGGATTGTTAAAATAAAGATTGATGGGTTTCGATAAACGAAATACGAAAGCGGAGATTTTTATTAAATTAAGTGGTATTAATAAGTGTTAATCGCATAGAAATAGTGGAAGGAAAATTTACCAACTTTTTAGGTGTGCTACCTTTTGTTGCGGTTTAGGGTTTTTTAACATTTTTCGCCACATTTGTGAGGTTATTAGGAATTTATAATGAAGATTGATAGGTGACATATAACGATGTACGGAAGCGGAGATTTTTTGTGTAATAAAGTGGTATTGTTAAGTGTTTATCGCATAGAAAATTAGAAGAGTCATTGACCAATCTTTTAAGGTGTCCTATCTTTTGTAGTGGTTTAGGGTATCTCAGCATTATACACCATGTTTTGTGAGGTTACTAGGATCATTAAAGTGCAGATTGATATGTTTCGAACAATGAAATACGGAAGTGGATTTTTTTTATCAAAAAAGCTATTATTACTAATTCTAAAGCACATAAAAATGCTACGAGAATGATTTACCAATGTTTAGGTGTGATATGTTTTATTCCGGCTTAGGTTATCTTAGCATTTGGTGCCATTATTGTTAGGTTAGGTTAGGTTTTTAGGATTATAATAAAGATTGATAGGTTTCGATAAACGAAATACGGAAGCGGAGATTTTTGTTATTAAATAAGGTGGTATTAATAAGTTAAATCGCATAAATATGTAAGAAGAATCATTAACCAATTTTTTAGGTATGCTATCTTTTGTCGTAGTATAGGGTATTATTAGGATTGAATAAAGATTGTTAGGCGAAAAAAAATCGATGAACGGTAGCGAATTATTTTCATCAAATAAGGTGGTATTATTAAATGAATCGCATAAAACATTACAATAGTATTTGACCATTTTTTTAGTTGTGCTATATTTTGTTGTGGTTTAGGGGTCTTAGCATTTTGCGCCACATTTGGGAGGTTACTAGGATTTTTAAATTAAAGATTGATAGGTGACGAAAAATGACATACGGAAGCGGAGATTTTTATCAAATAAGGTCGTATTACTTAGTGTTAAGCGCATAAAATGGTTAGGAGAAACATTGACCAATGTTTTAGGTGTGCTATCTTTTGTCGTGTTTTAGGGTATCTAAGCATTTTGAGCCATATTTTGTAAGTTTACTAGAATCATTAAAATACAGATTGAAATTTTTTATCAAATTAGGTCGTACTACTTAGTGTTAAGCGTATAAAATTTTTAGGATAATCATTTACCAATATTTCAGGTCTATATATTTTTACGTGGCTTAGGGTATCTTAGCGTGTAGGGACATTTTTGTCAGGTTACTAGGATCATTTAAATAAAGATTAATATTTTTCGAAAAATATGGATATGGAGATCGTATAGAGTTAAAGGGTAAAAAATGTTAGGAAAATAATTAACCAATATTTTAGGCCTAGGATATATTGTTGTGGATTAGGGTAATTAGCATTTCGCGACATTTTAGTCAGGTTACAGGATTATTAAAATAAAGATTGTTAGGTTTCGATAAACGAAATACGAAAGCGGAGATTTTTTTATCAAATAAGGTATTATTAGTAGGTATTATTAGTAGGTATTATTAAGTGTTCATCGCATAAAAATTTAAAAATGATCATTGACTAATTTTTTAGTTGTGCTATCTTTTGTCGTGGTATAGGGTATCTTGGCATTTAGCGCTATATTTGTGAGGTTATTAGGATTTAAAAAAAATAATAGGTGACGAAAAATGATGAACGAAAGCGTAGTTTTTTATCCAATAAGATCGTAATACTTAGTTAGAGTTAACCTTAAAAAAATATAAGAAGAATTATTGACCAATTTTTTACTTGTGCTATCTTTTGTTGTAGTATAGGGTGTCTTGGCATTTTGCGCCTTATTTGTTAGAACATTAGGATTATTAAAATATAGATTGATAGATGAAGAAAAACGATGAACGGGAGCAAATTATTTTTATTAAATTAGGTCGTATTATTATGTGCTAATCGCTTAAAAACTAGTAGAATCATTGGCCAATGTTTTAGGTGTGATGTCTTTTATCGTGGTTTAGGGTATCTTATCATTTTGCGCCATATTTGTGAGGTTTTTAGGATTATTGAAAAAAAGATTGATATGTTTCGAAAAACGAAATACGCAAGCGGAGATTTTTATCAAATAAATGTCAGTACTTAGTGTTAAGCATATTAAAATATTAGAAAAGTTATTTACCAATATTTTAGGTCTACTATATTTTTTGTGGCTTAGTGTATCTTAGCATTTTGCGACATTTTCGTCAGGTTATAGGATTATTAAATTGAAGATTGATAGGTTTCGATGAACGAAATACGAAAGCGGAGATTTTTTTATTTATTAAGGTGGAATTATTAAGTGTTCATCGCATAAAAACACATTAGAATAATCTTTGACCAATGTTGTAGGCACGGTATTTATTCTCGTGGCTTAGGTTATCTTAGCATTTTGCGCCATATTTTGTGAGATTACTAGGATCATTAAAATACAGATTGGTATGTTTCGAACTATGAAATACGGAAGCGGATTTTTTTTTTTTATCAAAAATGCTATTTTTACTAATTCATAAAAATGTTAATAAAATAAGCACATAAAAATATTAGGAGAATGATTTACTAATATTTATGTGTGATATCTTTTGTCCCAGCTTAGGGTATGTTAGCAATTTGTGCCATTATTGTTAGGTAATTAGGATTATTAAAACACAGATTAGGTTAATAAAATAACGGCTTTAAAATACGAAATGCGGATGAGGAAATTTTTTATCCAATAAGGTTGTAGTAGTAAGTGTTAAGCGAATAAAATAATTAGGAGAATCATTGATCAATGTTTTAGGTTTTAGGTTTAGGGTATCTCAGCATTTTGCGCCATATTTTGTGAGGTTACTAGGATCATCATTAAAATACAGATTGATATGTTTCGAAAATTGAGATACGGAAGCGGAGAATTTTTATCAGCTAAGGTTATTAACTAATGGGCTAAGCTTATTACAAGAATCGTTGACCAATGTTTTATACCAATATTTAGGTGTGCTATCTTTTGTCGTGGCTTTGGGTAACGTAGCATTTTGCATATTACTTATGAGGATCAATCGGAATATTGATGTGTTTTAAAATATGGTATAAGAAACTTAATGTTTTTAAAAAGAGCTTTAAGAATTCGTTACGAATACGAAAGAGCGGTTAAGAATACGTTTACATTTAATTATTTATAGTATAAAGCTAATTATTATTTAAGATAATAATCCAATGGTGTTAATAACCGGTAATAGTAATAAGTTATAAATTATATTAATAGGCAATAATAGGTAATAAGTAAACGAAAAATTTATTTGAGTTACGTAACAGTTTAAGGTGAAATTTACCGAAAACATTAAAGAGCCCATACATTTTAATTGTAAGTAATTTTATAGTCCGATCAGTCCATAGTTCTACGCCAAGAATTAAAGATTATTAAATTCGGTATCTGAGAAAGTCGGGTGCAGGTATAAAAATGCGTTTTTCTTCGTTTCAGTTGAAGTCGATAAGTTTTTCGATTCTTTTCGATGTCTGGTGTTATGTACGAGGTCGAAATTTGCGTGTACCCTGGATTAAATAGATTATTGTCAGTTTCATTTATGCCGAGGTAAAATCTTGATATATTTATAAATTGAATACAAATTATTATCAAAAATATTGCTTTTCTTTTTCACCCTTATTTACCATAGTTAAGGCGTCAATAAGATTCATGTATACACATATGTATAGTAACAAGCAAAGTTTTATAATGTCTATGGCCAATCTGATAAAGAATAGAAAAAAATATAATTATTACCTTATGTTTTAGATGTTTCGTAGTTAGAAATGACTAATAAAATGTAGTTGTTCATAAAATGTGACAATTTCTTTTTGATCACAGGAATGGTGATGTTTATTGCAAATGTCTGAAACTAGGACAGGTTTTAGTGATTTTAATACCAAGAGATAATTATCAGATACATAACCTGCATCACAAGATGTAGAGAAACGTAACCTTAAATTCTAGTAGGACTTCCACATAAAGCATTCAAGTTTGCTTTAAATAATTTAATGTAAATCCTAGAGGAAAGGAAAAACGTCACATAGATAAGAAATCAAAGAAAAACATATAGAAAAATAACATCTTTAATATAAGAAATATAATCACACAAATAATAATATTGCATCCTAAGATGGAGCAAATTAAAAAAAATCAAAACGAACTCATGCTATTAATGAAATGCTTCTTAAATTTACACGAAATGGGAATGTTAAATTTATTAAGCAAGAAATTAAATGAAACGTCAGTTACTCAAATGATATTAAGATACTATCAAATGTAAAAATGTAGATAAAATGCTCTTAAATAGCGAAGACTGAAGATTATATTTATTCATATTTAATATTTATCATAATCCCCTTCTACTATATTTTTTACAGGTTTTATTTAAAAATATGTTTTAACTAAGATTTAAAATCGATAATTAACGGAAATTATTCGTATATATAAGAATTATAATATGTTCTAAATGTTATAAACACTATTAAATTATGGGGTGATCATTGCAAGCATATTTAAAAGCTAATTTTTACTGATTTACCACGGTTACGGAAACAATTTAGATTGGTGTCCAACATAATTGTTTAAAATAAATTGAAACGGTGTATACAATCACGGAAATAATGGAGGATTTATATACAAACGTATGTATGCAATATTAAAATTGTACATAACAATTCGTCACGATAGACAGGACACAAACTGGTTTTAACACCTTTTTGGCCGTATATATTAAACTCAATAAACAATGGGCCCAGATTCAGAAATAATTTAATCAAATTTCTTTTTCCTTTTGAATTATATACACTTATATTGGATCAAATCTGCACTTATAACATTTATTATAATTGTTTTGTACATAAATGATAGATAAACTTTAATTTATATGATTAATCGCTTGAGTTTATGCTTTGTTGAAAATTATTTAGTCCATACTAAGAAATGTAAATGATAACGCATTTTCATGCTAAAATATCCATGAAGAATAGGTTTTTAAATAGTTGCATAGGACGTCGTTTTCTATTTATTTGTTGATTTCTTTAGATACGTCCTCGTTGTATTATGTTGTAAATTAAGGTCGTATGTTTCTTCTATATTATTTTCAAGAGGAAATATTTGTACTTTTGTATGTATCGAAATGACTCAAATACTAATGTACAGATTTCAAAAATTCTTTCACCAATAAATAGGTGTGTTATCACCGAGTTACATAGGCTTAAATTACAAATTTTTGTATATCTATCCATGTTATTACAATTAAAAACTTTTTTTTAGTTTGAAATTCTTTCTCCTAGCAAAATGTTATAGCAATCTTTCTTGTCATCAGAATTGCCTAAATTCTAAATTATTGTGTTGAGATAAAGTTATTCAAAATCGTCTACACTTAGAACTATCAAGCTGCTTGTATTGCTCGATATTTTTATTTCTGTTTTAATGAAGAGCGGAACGCTAATTTTAACACGTTGCTAGATCTTCTTTCCTAATTTTTTTTAGTTCTGAATAAACACTAACAAGAGTGTATAACGTTTTCAATAGTTTTGATGTTGATGTAATCGGCATATTTCATGTTGCTTTTGCATATGAATCTAAATTATCCGTGTATTATTATACTACATACTTGTTTTTATTTTATAGTTTGCTTACTTATTCCTTGATTTTATGTTAGTTCGTACAATTTAATAAATCAATCGATTTCCTGATCTACATTATGTTGAATCTGTTTGTTAGTACTTATTACAATTTTGTATATCAAAATCGTCTTGTTTCACAGTTTGTTTTCTAATAGTTTCGTGGTTTGTGTGTTGCTAATTGAATCAATACAGAATTAAATTTAAAACCGCTTAATACTGCAAGTGGGTTAGGTGAAATATTAGCTACGTCTACAAAAGTATCCTATTTTTAGCTAGTCTTAAATCGTGGTACTTATGGGAATATATTGATGTCTCTTTCATTTTCATTGAAAATTTAGAGAAAACAATATGTAACAGGCAAGGATAGTGTACCGATGTGGACTTAGCTATTAAAAGCGTTTTAAGCACGTTTTGTAAGATTTTAGGGTGATGTTATTTAGTGTGTGGTTTTATAAATTATCAATGTCCGTGCTATTTGGGCCATATTCAATTCGCATTTGTATGTATTGGTGATGGTTCCCATAGTACTATAATTGTTTATAACATTGCTAATTGTATATTAGCAAAGTTTCTATAACCAATTTTGTTGTATTTACGTTTTAAATTTTCATTAAATTAACTTTGTCATTTGAACAAAATTAATTTAATTAGTATAGAGCCCGAACTCTTCGTCTCGATTTTATTTTTGTTTTAACTTGTTTTACCAGTAAGGGCTATTTTTTTCTATTATTTTTCTAATTCAACGTGATTTTTAAATATACCTCTCATTATTTTTATGACCTCTCTGACCTTTATAGCCTCATCTACACATCATAGAAAAGAGAAAAATGAAACTTTCAAAAGACAAGACAAGAAACATTAACACCAAATTATTAATTTGCACAAGATTGTGTTTACTATATCTTCGCTTTTATCTGCCCTTGCGGATTCGGACTCGCACCAACTAAAAACCTTACAGTGTTCTTCACACGTTATTGGCGGGGCTTCGGGAACGCTTTTGCTCACATCTACGTCCGCGCCTACGTCAGCCGTCAGCCTGTTTCTATAGAGGACAAGCCTCCCTAAAATCTGAAGAAAACCGTGCGCGTCTTCTACACGACTCTTAAACACGGGCAACGGATAACCCCTAGGTCCTCCACCTCAGGACTACGGAGACTAGAAAAGCGGGAATTCTTGATCTTTCAACATTGAGAAGCGTATCTCACATTATTAGGTCCTGCCGCAGACCTCACCGGCTGCAGTTTCGGAATTAACCCCGCTTAGCCTCACCCAGCCGCAACGGTGTGACCCCGCTTAGTAGCTGAGGATAAGGAGATTGGCGCGCCGCAGTACCAGCACTCCTATTCCCCTATGACTTCTCCTATGCGGAGACAAAGTTTGCTTCTCAAATTCCCACAGACCACAGCACACATCTAAGGCGAACTCAAAGGAGTATACCTCGAGCGGTTACCTCTGCTAATACTCCCCCAGGAGCGGCTTGGGTTCCTCTTAGCTTCAGTGGGCAGCCAAAGTGCAGGTATCGAGCCCCAATGCTACGAAAAGGCGGAATCCCGGTTTAGGTACTATTTCTAATGCGCAACTTCTTATCTATACATAACTAATAGTTTGTGTATATCTTAGCTTTGTAAAAACCTTAACTCAGTTTTCTTACTATACATATTTATTTTAAAAGTATTATTTAAATCTAATAGATTGTAGATTTGTATAATAAATGTTTTTGCACCACACAATGTGTGGTTAATATTTTTTTGTTCGTTATAACTGTTTCAGGTTTACAACAAAATAGTCCGCTGCCGGTAGCATTTTTCTTTTTTTAGCGTTTGTGTAGGAAGGTATAGGCAAGGAGTTAATAAGTTCGCGATTTAAATTCAGTCACGCTGCAGTTGTGCAAAATAATTGGTGCGAATAGTAAGTCAATATTTTACTAATCGGATTTTCTCGTATAGATTGTACAGATTTTACATAAATTCTATTACGTTCTCTGCAACTTATAATCAAGTTTCTAAGGAGATAATCCTTGTATATTTTTAATATTATACATATGTTCTTAAATTTTAAGAATAAAGAAAGTAATAAATAATATAAATAATTCGATGTTATGGAATTCTAAACGAAAAATTTAGATAAGGCTAGGTAGGCATGTTAAATAGAATTGTTACAGATTCTGTGTCCCGGTTACGTATAAAGGAGAGGAAATGTAGTGGTATGGAAACTTAACGTTAATATAAATCCAATAATAATATATGTATTAATACATTTAGTGAATAAAGAACGCTTTTGAACACCAAAATTATAGTTCTAGCTAAGTGTGGCAGTAGCACATGAAAGTAAGAAAGGCTTTATTTAAATTACTTAGGTCCGCTAAAAACTCTTACAATTAGTAAAATAAATAGCTTCACAAGTACAAACTCATTTAATACAATTTTCTGCACCGTAAATTACTATGTTACAACGATTATATTTCGATAAGCTTTCGAAATGTCATCAGAGCTTTTAGTGTACCTGACTTGTTGATACATTTTACAAAATCTAATTTGTATTTAAAATGTTAATAATGGGCTTAACGCTTTATTTAGGTGTCTATGACACTTAGGTCAATTAATAGATTTTCTTTTCAGGTTAATACGATTCATCTTTTACAGAAAGTTCGCGATTTAATCTCCTTTCAGAGGTATCAATGATTAAAATTTTGAACAAATTACAGTTAACACTTTACACATTTTTCGATTACGTATTCACCATTGGAGTCAACTAAGGCTATGCAAATGCATGAAAGATGGTAGTTATCCAGTTTGCACTTTAGCCGGAGTTCTAACAGCACAGATATTTTTTGGACGTTACGCGGGAATGAAGATTATTTGCTAAATTTACAATTAATATTTACCAAGTTTTACTAGCATCCATGCAAACTTCCTTCAGTTAAGGCACATTAAAACTGCAGTAAGTAATTTTAGATGTTGTGAAATTGGATGATATTATTACTTTGAAAATTATACGTGACGTTATTACGAAATTGAATTTGAAACTTTTTATCCGATTTCACGTTTTATGTTGTAACTGTCAATACGTTAATTTTTTTATAATATCAATATTTAGATGACTTGCATTAATCAAAAATTGTGCTGGCAGACTTAACCTCATTACGCTTGATTATCCATGAAACATTTAGCATTGTGTTAATCTAGCATTACTAGCTAAAGTAACCACACGTCCGATGTGCTTTGGGAATGGATATGCGTTTTAGGCGGTTTTTATATGAGCATATTGGGTTTGTTGTTTGATTTTGATTTAGATCGTGCTTTGGTAATACCCGCTTCCGAGTGATGCGCCTTCACCACAGAGCGGCGTTATGCGACTGATTTACATTGGTTTGTTTTTGCACTTAAATCACATAATATCCACAACAGCTAATATTTCGTAATGTGATAGGACGTTTTAATTTATTTTTTTGTTATAGCGGTCAACTAGAGGATTTTTAATCTATATTTCAGTAAGTCTTTTCAAAGATCATCATTGATATTATGAGATTTTTTATCTGTGTTTATATTCGTTTTAATACTTCAACTTTTTATTGTATATTTTTAAATAATCTATAACTACATAATTTAATTCACGTGTTATTTTACTATCTAATTTATTTAATTAATTGCAGTTATTTTTACTAACTTTAACGGCGTATGCCGTTAAGTAGGGATAATTATTAACTTATCTTTTGCAGACCACAATTTTTATTCATTGTATTGGATGCACAGCTTTAACAACTCTGGCACATTGACTCAAGTACCTAACAATATACTAAATGAGACAAGTTCGAATGTTTAGTGGTAGCTTGTTGAAGATTAGAGTGAAGTTAGTGTATTGAAGTGTGATACATTTTGTGATGTCTGATGTTTTGTAAAATCGTGCGCAGTAGAATCGGCATAAATATAGATGTTGCGATGGAAATAAAACAAATATATTGGAAATATAATTTGTTTAAATCATTTTAAATACAGAGAAATGATATGGGAATTATAAGACAAGATAAATTACCGAAAGTAAAAAAGAAATGAGTTAAATATTCGTAAGTAATAATCAAGTTTTCATAGTGATTGTGGGTATCGATTTGTGTTCTCTAGTGTTCAGATAGTACGTGTTTGTTTAAAATTTATTTTAAAGTTACGTTATAAATGTTCGGCTAATTTTATTAAAATAGGGTTGTCAGAAAGTGGATAGTGGTTTGTTTTGCAAAATTTTAAATTAAATTGTTTCTTATTGTGATAGTGAATCTAATTGAGATTAAATTAGTTTTCCTATATCATTGGGAAAAAGGTATCGTGAGTGTAGTTAATGATGGTGTTTGCTATAATTTTTTAATGTGGTTTACATATGATTAAAATTATTATTGCAAAATTAAACATTAATTATTTTTTCTTCTGGACATTAACCTATTTTTGTTGCCTCCAGCCAGTTTGGTAAATGGTGTTAAAAAAATAATTGATAGTATATTTCGAAGGTCATTAACTGCAGTAGTTGTGTACAGGATGTATCAATTTGTAACTCACTTTTAGTATTGAAAAGCATTGCTTTGTGCAATCTAAATGTTGTATTATACAGCACAGCTATAAGTTTGTGTTATTGTTGCAAAAACGCTCAGATATCGGTGGTAGATGTACTATTTTTTCTCTAAAATCATGACTTCTTTTTAACAATTGTTTGTTTCTTGTATATTGTCTTGTTTAGATTCATTTTATTCCTAATGCTTCCTATAGGTGTCAAAGCTTTAGCTTGTTTTATACTAGTTACCATGAAGCTTGCAATATTTGAAGTAAACAGGAGTTAAATTGAAATTATTGAAAACTTGAAGATATTTATTGAAAATGTAGATGTCGCTATCGGAAATAAATTGTTGAAATTATGAGAAAAGATAGAAATCTAAGTATAAATGAATATAATCATAGAAACGATTATTAAAAATGATTTGTTACGTTTGATAATGAAATAAAATGTTCAAGCTATATTCAACCAAAACTAATCCCTAGTTATGGTAGAGATGAATTAGAGCATCCAATTGCAAAATAAACGATAGTTTTACGTCGGAAAATTATTCAGAAATGTGAGTTTTTGGAACAAATATTTCCCTACAATGTGTCGCACATTTAATAGGTTTTCGAGCCTGTTATTTGTGCTTTAATTTTTTATAATTAAGTTTCAGATCTACTTTTCTATAGTCTTTGATCGCAGTTTGTTCGATGGGTACTCATAGATGCTAACGGAGTTTAAGGTTGCGTGTGAAATTCACCATATTTAACCGACTTCATTTAATATTGCTAATCATAATTTACTAACGAAGGGATATTATATACATGCAGTAATATAAAACACAAAGAAACAATTCTAGGTAGGTAAATTTGATACATATTACATTTAGGTAGAGTAATCAATTAATATTTAGTATATAAGCCTAGTTTTAAGATAAGCCCAGACCTAGACCACAAGAAAGTAGGCTAGAAATTCGTACCAGCGCAATTCCATATATTGGCATATTAGATATAATTACGGATAAAATATTAATTACTAACACGATATAACTAATCTGATGAATTCAGACAAATTCTCTTAGAATACAGCGGCAGAAAATGCAGTTAACGTCAGACAAAACCGGGCGATGACATAAGTGTAATTTTAGAGGTAAAAATGAGATATACAATAAGTTATTTTATATACATAAGTAAGTCGTAATAGGTAACTTTAGACAAAGACTAACTTAAGAATTAGGTAGGTAGAGTAAGTAATGACTCGATGTAGGTGATTTCTTTTTTTAGGACTAGTTCATGAAATAGGTGCGTCAAATATATTTATTGCGAATTTAAGCGTGAATATTAGGAACATACGGATTAAAGAATTTGTAAAAAATGCAGAAAGTAAAGAAAACAGTTCGTAAAGAAATGAAATATTAATTGTAATACGTAACGTTTCTAAAATAAGTGTAATTTGCACGAACATGCTAGATGAAATAGGATAGGAAGGATGTAGGTTAGAAATTAAGAAGAAAGGAACAGATAACTTCATGATGGTCAAAAGTGATTTTTTGTTGTAAAATTAATTAATATTATTATTTAAATTTATACGAATTGTAAAAATGTGTACAAAATACATTAAAAAAATCCTATGTAATTAAAAATAAGAATTTTTAAAAAATTATAAAAAGAAAACAATTTTGTAATTTGATAATCAAAAGTGGATAAAAAATATTCAAATTAAAATATGTCATTGAAATAGATGTGATTAAAATATGTAAAAAACGTACAGATTTATCAAAAAAAAATATAAATCACTTGCTGAGTTTCTTGCCGGTTCTTCTCAGCAGGTGTAGGAGTAGGGAACCGGATTTTGAATTAAAAATTCAAAAACCTTTAAACTAAAATATACAAATTTTTAACTCTACCTGTTGTTTCATTTATTTCTAAACAGTGTCTAAAGTACTCAAAGTTGAAGGCCAAATATACTTAAACTTTTTCTAGATTGGTCATGTGAATATTTGAGTCCTTTACACACTGTTTAGTTACCTAAACCTCTATATTATTATGGAACCCCAATGCCCTAATACTCACTTGACTGAAAATATAATCGCAATAAGAAATAATTCGAGACTTGGAGCCTAGTGTATTAGAAGAGAAAGGCCTGAGAAAAAAACAAGTGCCAAGTTTTCCTTATTTTGATGGCTGAAACACGTGTACAAAATTATTATTTTTGAGATATGAGCGACATTGTTTGTGTACATGTGTTTCGGTACTTTAACTGAAGTTTTAAATCTACTAAAAAACTGGCCATAAAATTCAGAATTGTACAGACGCTATATATCAAGGATTCTTCGGAGACGATGGCAATCTTCAACAGTAAGTATGGAGTAAGTATACACTACAAACGAGCATATTATGTTCTGAATACTGGCAGGCATTGCATTTCGAAATGCTTAAATCAACTTCATATAAAATGGTTTACTGAGGAAAGATTAGCAAAAGTTCATTCATTTCATGAGTCATTTTCGTAAAATGTTTAGGGCTTGATGATACTAATATATTAAAGCGTAAACACACTACTTCGTATCGTAGGATGTCAGCAATCACAGCATATTTTGAATAATAATCTTTAAAAAAAAACCCTACACTTACGACACGCTTTAGGGTATAAATTTTCACGCTCTTAAACTAAGGGAGTAAATAAATTGGAAAAAACCTTAAAGTGGGAAAGGGACCATAAACTACAAGCTGACAACATTAAGTAAGGTTATTATGGTAAGGGGAATTTTGCAATTGAAAGACAAATGCTAACAATAAAATAAAGTTTTTATAATACTGAGAAAGCTGCACGGGAACAGCTAGTAGCAAATATAACTGGAAACGATTATCGCTTTTGTTGACTATCGTTAGAGCACAACATTTTTATTTATACTACGATTTACATATCACAATCGTCATTTAGATGGACTATGGACGACAAGGGTGTTGCCATACTGGATAGGAGCTCAAGTGTTAATTATATCAGAGACAACATTTGTTATGCCGCTTTAAGGTACAACAGTTATTTAAAGCCGCCAAAAGATGGCGCTCTAAACAATTTTACGAGTTTTTAAATTAAATTGAGAAGTTGATAATAAAACACAAGATATAAACGTGTAAAATCACTTTATATAGGATAATAATTATGATAAAAAATGTCACAACAGGGAATTGCCACGAGCCTACCTTGAACTACACATTTAAGAATCGCTTACTCTATGCTTTCCGACTTAATTACATCACATACGAACGAGATTTTTCAATAATAATACAACATTTACCGATATCTCATACTCCGTTCCAACCCGTAAGCTTAACCTAAACAACGTAGACAATAAAAAACTTAATATTAAGCATTATACAACTAGATCTCATTAAGTACATAAAAATTCCCAGAGTAAATGCATCTTAATATCAAATACAATAGGAATAACACTCGGTCAAACGTACGGAATACTAAAAAATAGGTGAAATTCACTAAAATCGGGTCAACAGTTTTTCCTGTTCTTTTTTTGGCCTTTATGGATAGTTAAAACAGTATAACCACTTGCATAAAATTGCATTCATAATTGTGTAAAATTCCCAGGTGTTTATGAAGATTTTCCTTTGAATTTCCATTAAAAAGCTTAATACAGTAAGAGTCGATTTCAATGAAATATTACTCTGATAGAAATTGAATTTTCAGATTGCATTAATTCCCAATAGAGGACTTATTTACAAATGATGTAAATTCTTCGATCAATTTATCTCAACTACATATCAAAAAATGATAAACATTTTGCGTCGTTCATTTAAAGGGTACAATTTGAAAAACACATCTATCTCAAATACTTAGTATATAAAAATACAATGTACAGAAATAGTCAACCAGAGGCAGTGTAAAGTTTTACAAGATCAGTCGGTGAATAAAATACGATATGATATTAACTTGCTTCAAAAGTCGGCTTCACTTAATGTTACTTTCTTATTTCATTACAAATATTTTATAGAACATTCATTTAATTGACACAGAGATCAATAAATTATTCACTAGGAGATTGAGAATCGATAAAATTAAATCGAGATCTTTGAGCTGCCAGTGGATAATTTCTTAATTGGAGTCCCAATCTCCTAGAGAATGTGGTCATAAAACGGAGTAAGAGGTGTTCGGCTGACACTCTTCAATTATCTCTTATTCTTATTCTTCATGGTGAGTCGTCGCCAGAAGCTGGTCTTCTCAGCGGGCGGCTGCTCTTCCCGCGTCTCCTCGCCCCTGGTCTCTCCGCGCAACATGTCTAAGAAAGTCGGATCATTCTTACGAACGTTCTTCTCGATTTTAACTGCCTCCGCGCTCAATTCCGCTTTCAATTTTTCCGGGCTCGTGTTCTCGACCTTAAACTCGTTAGGGTCTTCAACGAACGCTTGCTGAAGATCACGCATGATCTTTTTCCTTATCGTCTTTTTCATACTGAGATGCCTTTCGAGTGTCTTGACGTCGCCGTTGGCGTAAGTGCGGTAGTCCTCCTTTTTCTTGCGTGCGGTCTTCTTGTTGGTGTCGTCGTCGTCGTATGTTTTGCCGTCATATTGCTGGTTCAGGCTGAAGATATCTCGCAGGTGAGGGATGGCTCGCTCCGACGTCATTGTGCCGCGCACCTCACACACCTCACGCACCTCACACCGTGTCACTGACACTTCATGCTGCCACCTGGAATTGAGACAAACTAAATGTTAGAGGTCTTACATAACATAGATACTCTGAACGCATGGAGAAATTAATGTTCGGTCAAATAGCAACTGTTATAAATTTTAGGTAAATTAAAATTATAATTACGAAGGTAATTAATTAATATTTTTAATTAACCAGAAACAATAACCCCATGCGGAGCGACCGTTATTCATTTAAGCATCCTCTACTGAAATTACAGCTTTTGAATAACCTCGTAATTTCGTAAAATGCCCAAAATGTGACATGAAAAGGCTTGGTTGTTAATTATTTTGGGCCGCACTGTCGAATATTAAATAGTTGCCATGTTAATTAATATTTGCCATTATCAACCATCAGTAATGAATACTAAAAAAGTAAAAACGTTTTGAGAAATAAATTGTTTCTTTAATTTGAAAATCTCTGCTTCAGGAAACCACGAAACATACATCCATTAATTTTATTTGATATTTGTCTTTTAATTATTTATTAGCATAATTACTAATTAAATGCAATAAACATTTTATTATTTCTATAAGGAAACGTAACTTACATCATAATACAAAAATAAAATGTAATCATTTCTACATTTACCAAACTCCTTATTTGGTTTTTCAAACGATTTATGTGAAAATAACATTGCTAAATCGTGAAATATTGTACTAAGAATTGCGTTCTTTTGTACACTTTACACTGTGTATTTCAAAAACGAACACATCAAAAAACACGTTTACAACAAAAACGTGACTCATTTATGTTGGTAGTACTGTTTTATTAAATGGTGTAGTAAAAAGCAAATCACAATCGCATTTATTCGTCGAACAAGGGCGTGCGCTAAAAAGCATCTAAAAGTAGTTCAAACATGATGTCATAAACGTAATTTGATATCATAGAGTGGAGGCATATGAAATGAATATAAATTTAATATTTAATTTATCTATTTAAGCGCCAATAGCCTAATGGGTTGGGAAACGGACTACGGATCTTGATTTCGAGGGTTCGAATCTCGCCATTCGACTTGTCGTGAACCATATCCTAGCACAAGCCTACAGCTCAGTTGTAGTGTTTAAAGGAAATATTAGTAAATTAACGAAAATCTACTAATGTTAAAAAATATATAGTACAAAGTTAATTAGAATTAATTTTATTACATGATCTCTTACCACAAATGACAATATCTGTGAATTTATTGTCGGAAATAATTTATTGATTTTTGCATAGTTAACTTTTTTATTCACTAGACTAAAGTAAATCAGCAAATGTTGATGAAAAGACTAGTTCAATAACATAGCCTTGTAATAAAATCGTGGAGTCAAGTTCAGAAAAAAACAAGATTTTAGTTATTATAAATGTCTGGAGGACACAAAACTATGGTAAATTGAATACAAGTGATAGTGTTGTGCGAGTATATAACACTATCCGTAGCATTGTGCTCGTAATATTAACAAAGTGCGCTTAACTGCACTCTCCGGTCCGCCGCCTCTCACCTGCGAACAATGCCTTAGTGCCTCTTAGTGCCTTGCCTTTCCTACAGCCTCACAATGCACGACTCCAAATTTCTCTATTCCTTACCATTATGAACTTAACCACATAGCTTTAAGAACGAAAATCGTATGCAATTGTTTTTTAGGAAAAAAAATTGACGAAAGCGAACATTCTAAATGTTAAAATCGTTCGCGAATATGCGACACTTTCTTAACTTTCTTCAACAATTGTGTTAAATGCACCTTGTGTTAAGTAACTTTGTGGATCCATGTTCAAAGTTGTGCGTCTCAGATAATATCAGAATCATCGACTCATAGTCATCATATTTACTTAAGTGTATCCTAATCAAAGAGATTCAAATGATTTATAGAGTAGGCATAGTTGACACTTCACTTGAACCATTTCTCACATAGTCAAAATGTCTGACATTGAGATATTACCGTACAAAGAAACTGGTGAAAAAATGTTCTTCCTTATAGTCTAGTCTACATACATTTTAAATGTCTTTGATCATGGTTTAACGAAATATCATAAAAAAACTTTCCCTGTATACGTAAGAAATCTTTTCCGTAAGGTTTTTACTTAGTATACATTCAATATACCGACTAAATGTATACTTGAACATAAAAGTATAAATTTCTCTCGGACCCGTTGAGATTAACCTCATCTCAACTGAGTACAGATTATCGTGTGATATATTACCCGCTTTGTCTCCGAAATTACATGTTTTTATTTATTTAAAACACGACTTGCCGACGCCCACGCCTACGACAGTCTCAAGGGACGTAATCCGTGGAAACGTCTCGAAGAACACAAAGCCTTTGTAATGCTAATTGTTCGAGGGGATTAGTGCTTGTTTTCGGGGTTGTTGAAAGTTGGTAATCTGTTCAGAATTTAAATTTCTATGCTTAGTTTCAGCTTTCTATACTTAATACAGATAATAAAGTTAAACTTAGGTATGTTTGTTATCGATAAACCTAATAACAGTCTCATTAAAATGTATAATAATTCATTAGCTAAAAAAAATAATTATTAGCTGCAATCACGGCATATTTATGCGTAATAAATAAAACAATCATATAAAAAATTATAAAAGAATCAACAATAGACTGCATCTAAACTTATAACAATGAGATTTCTGCATAAAAATAAATTCGTTCGTTTCATTGCTGTTTCTTACGCTATAGTTTTCTAATAATAGAGTTTTTTTAACAATAAAAGCCAGTCTAACGACCAAAGTTGAGCTGCGTAATAAAACGAAGTTGTATTTATATGGTGTGGTTTATAAGTGACATTAACATTGACGGGGGTCAGTGCACTGGTCATTGCGTCACACGTGATTGCCAGCCATCTTGTCGAATGTATCTAATGGTCGAATTTGTAGGGTTGTTTGACATTTTTGGACTTTAATTTCTAATGGACCTTTGACTTCAAGTTTAAATGTTAAAAGTGGATGCATATCGAAGATTTGTCTTTACAACTTTTATTGTTTACCGGACACAATTTGTTTTGATGGATGTGAATTACATTAAAAATTAACTAAAACCATAGATCACGAATACAAAGATTTTCTTTCCGTAGGTAAATACGGTAATAACGGACCGGCTCAAACAATTTGCATCTCTTAATTGCTTTTGTTTTCGTTTAACGATCGCCCGCTCGAATTGGCTGGAGATTGGGCCGCCGATTGTTTGCACATGTAATTGTTATGGACGGACATAATACCCTTTATGTGTTTGCTACGAATACCGGGGATTTGAATACGTTTTGTATTGATTACATTGTGATACGCCAAATGGCCGATTGATGCTAGCTTCGCAATCTAGCACATTTTTAATGGTCCTCGTTCGAACCCAGCTATGTACCGGTGCGTTTTTCTATGTTAAGATTTTAAAAAATATAATAAAATATGACGCAAATTGCAAATATTTGCGAAGAACTCAAATTCAAGCGTGGTTGATTAAGGTTTAGTTACCCATAATTTGTTTGTTTTAGGAAGTTTGAGGCCCTAGGCGGCAACATTTATGAGCTGAGAAGCTTCTGTAATTTTATTAATTTCACTAAAGATTTTTTATTTTTAATTCAGCGAAACATCGGCCATTAGCGTCATGTAAACGTGCAACAATAACCTTCGGGGTTTTACTGGTCGAATAAATGTTAATACCGTCTGTTTGTACAAGTGTATCGCTTATTGTCACACAATCTCTTTTATTGTCGCAGCAAAACACCCTTGACGAAAATGTACGCCTCTACGACACTTGTATACGAAACAAACAATACATTTATCTTACTTTTATGTTTTTGTTCTTGGATATCATGTCTTTCACGTACAATGAATTCGCTTAGCCTGTTTTGTATAAGATATTGATTTATGAATGTTTGCGTGGAATTGTATAGCTACTAAGATGTAAATCGAACGAATACATTTCGTTCAGTTGAATTGTAAAATAACATACTTTGAGGACCTAATTGAATGAGAAATTTTAAAAACAAAATATGTGATGAGCTGTAAATTGTCGGCTCTAAACTCTTGAGATTGTCCAACACGTTAATTTATTGGAATTGAATTAGTTTGACAAAGGGCTAATTTTCCAAATAAAGGATATACGAGACAATTTTTAGGCTATGATTTATTTTTTTTAAAAATCGGACAAAGACTAAACCTTGAAAAACGTTTTCAAAGTTTTCTACCTAGATAAAATGGCGGGAATCAACAAACTATTTTGTGTGCCAGTTGATACTATTGTCAAAGTGCGTTTTGTATGCGCGCCTTTTTTGTTTTGAGCGCGTACCATCTGTCAAGTTGACAGCGGCTGACGTGTGTACGCGAGCGCAGGATATTGCGTAGTGCGTAAAGCCGTTTCATTTTTGTCTTTTGTTCTTTTTAATACGATTAAAATAGAAATGCGGGCTCGTTTAAACAGGGGCTTAATATCACATGTAAAATATGAGCCAAATAAAAAAGAGGTATTTGATTCTTATAATTATTTTGTTGGGATTTAATTTAAACTTGAATCAAGCCAATTAAGATCAGATTTATAAACTAAGAGGACGCGGAATCATACGGTACTATAAAATGTCCAAAGTTATACTTTTTAGGTTAGAAAAAATTCGTAAGGAAATTACTGTTATCTATTTTCATGTCTGAAGGAAATTGAAATTTACATATTATTTGTATTGTTATGTGTAATTTACACACAAATATTATTCATATAAACCCTAAGTAACGACTTTAAGTAAAATTCGTTCTTTTTAAAGCATTTCATTTTCTTTTTTAGTGTCACAGTGAAACACACGTAGCCATATGCGTTTGGTTAAATTATGTAACTCTGAATATAATGTAATATTTAAAACAATAAAACCTTTTTTGTTTACTCACAATCTCGTAAATGTAACGGTGTCAAAAGTTCTTCGTTGGAAAACTGTAGCAATATAAGGTCGTCTAACAACAAGTGGCTGAAAAGTTATATTTAAATAACTAGTTGTTTCCCGCGACTTCGTCGGCGCAATCTACACTA